GACTCCTGTGTGAAAGCTGCTTCCCCTCTCACAAGAGTCACCTAAGAGGGGAATTCCCCCCATTTTCAAAAATGAAATTCAAGCCCTGAATAAATGTCTAAAAATCCTGATTAGAGTATCACTATAAATAGTTATAAATAATAGTTATAAAGGCTTTAAAAAGATCGGTATCGGTGATCGGCAGATACTGCTTTCTGTGATTGGCGATCGGTGATCAGCCTCAAAAATCCTGATCGGAGCACCTCTATTCGAAACCTTGGCTGGTTTTTCCTTGTAAAATCAATAAATGGGTGTGATTAAACTTTAGAGCAGAAAATGACTGTGGAGGCCACAAGCGCAAGTACAGCCATCCTTGTGTGCTCTTTAAGTGTTTTGTTCTTGTGAGACAGGTACCGCAACCCACTGACTACCAGCCTAAACAGATTAAAGTATGTCCATAAATTATAAAGAAGACAGAACATCTAAAAGTGCTTCAGTGCTTTCCAGCATAAAATGATGTACCTCTATAATGGCATTCCCAATGGATGACACATCAAGTGCCTCGGCAGAAGACACCAGCTCAGTTATAATGCAGCCAAGCACTTTGCTTACGAACTGAAGCTAAATTCAAAACATGTTCCACGAAGAAATTCAACTTTTCATGTTCCCCGAATACTGTCCTTTGGAGAAATACATGTAGCTACCCTCGCCGAAAAATACAAATGAGGAAGAAATGCAATTTCAAGGGAGAGGAGGAATAAGAAGATACAGGTATTTCTGAAAATGAGAGTTGTTTATGTTCTTGTAATAGATGTTTATTAGACTGTAACCTTGAGCTCTATTTGACTCATGAAAACATGATGCTGCCCTAAAACACCAAAACCGTATTCAGTGGGATATGTAAGCTCCTTTTCTCTGCCTCTAGATCATACATTATACTGTGCCGTGTTTTGGAAATAATAGACTGGAATTGCAAATTATGCGCTTGTGTGAATGTGCACAACATCTAGAGACTGAGAGGCAGTGCCCCGTCGTCCATCTTGACAAATGAGCTTAAATTGGTCTGCCACGGGAATCATAATTGTAGAGTTTTCATGGCTCTGCTTGACTCTATTGCTGCATTTCTTTTCTTTCAATAGAAATATTCTCAGAGTGGATGAACCCTGTATTGTGGGTAAGACTTCTGGATTGACAGCTACTGGCCCAGCACAGGCATCAGTGAACAGGAATCAGATACTCCAGAGAGGAAGCGCTTTTATGCTAGATCAGGGTTCTCAGCCTCCCTCATTTAGCACATCCTGTCAGCTAGCAGTAAGAGTGATAGCTTCATTTCATGTTTTAAAGGACGGAGCGGTTTTGGATTGCACGTGTACAGCCGCTAACAAGCAAAAAATACAAGCTGTAGAGCAAAACACAAATCAGACGCCCTGCAAAAAGGAAAAACCTTCTCTTGTAAGTCATTTTAGACTCTTTATTTTGCACTTACCTACCCAGAGAATTTTTTGTTTTTATATTTTTTAGTCACGTGGTTTCAATATGGCACCCACATTAGGTGACCTACCCCATGTGAAATAAATATATTGTTTATTAGGCTATAAGACTGCAGCCTTCAACTCAGATGAGTCTCTATAATCATTAACACATTATTAAAAGTTAATACTGATTTCTTTATGGGCAAAACAAACAAGTTGAACATACATAAATGTCACCACAAAGCTGTAATTACGAGTGGGAAATTCAGGGTTTCCTTTAAGCCCAGAGTTTCTGAGTTGGGGGCATGTCAATGAGAAAACATAGGACGCATTGGATGCAAAATCTGTATTAATGGTAAATTTGTTGAAATTAATTAAACAGTTTTATTGTAAATGAAAATGTTCTAGGTTCTTTACAAGTCTAAGTTGCATGTGCAAAACATCATAGTATTGTACAATTTGATAAAATATATTCCATTTATAGTATCTTCATAGATTAAATAAAACATTACAGCAAAATCACACCCGATGCACTTTCTTTATTAATCATTTTGTAGGCTACATGTAAATTTTAAAAAAATCTTGTAAAATTTTAAGCAGAAAAGGAACATTGCCATCTTGCTCTAGCCAAAATTATTTGAACCAGATCTCATAATTACGACTTCCCAATAGGGATGTAACGATTAACCGCGAGCCGGTTGAAAATCTATTTAATATGTAACGATTAAAATCGGTTGAGATGCTAAACAAATCGCGATTCAATTAGGGGTAAGTGTTTATATGAATGTATGTCTGAGGGGAACTTACTGTCTTTCGATGGTATTTTTTCTTTTCCTCTTGCCTCTGTATAATGCATATTAAAGTTCATAAGTGCAGTGCTGCTTTGTTTACAGCAGAAACCAAGGAAACGCTTTAAGCGCCACCTGCTCGCAGTGAGTGAATCTGCGTCTCATTCAGCTGACTCAAAAACCATTGTTTTTCCTTCAAATTTCGAAATTATACAATGTCATTTAGATTAAAGGGGTCATATGATGCTGCTAAAAAGAACATTATTTTGTGTATTTGGTGTAAGCAGTGGTTGCCTCTAATTTTAAATGGAAAGAGCACAGACAAAGCCTTAGTTTGTTTATATGAAGAGATTTCTTTTGTTTGTTACTTGTTTATTTGATTTGGGGCTTGTTTTAAAATTTTAATTTAGTTTTGTTATTTACATTTACATTATATTTAAATTTTGTTATTTAGCAAACGCTTTTATCCAAAGCAACTAACAAATGAGGACAATAGAAGCAATCAAAACCAACAAAAGAGCAATAATTTACAAGAGCTATATTAGTATATTATTATAGTGTTATATTTCAATTTCACAAAGAAACGTACAGTATTTTGTCCAAGCAATAATAAAAGGACACATTTAATTTATAATTTGTCTTAAATCTCATTTTGTTAAAAAAAAAACGTGAATCGAATCGAATCGAATCGAATCGAATCGAATCGAATCGAATCGAATCGAATCGAATCGAATCGTGAGTTGAGTGAATCGTTACATCCCTACTTCCCAACTTGTAAATATTTAACTTTCAAGGAAGACATGAACACACCAATAAAAACAGACAAATCTGACAAAATCTGACAAACAGATGAAAGCAAATCTGTTGACTTGTGATAAGAGTATACAACTAGAATTTGTTCTTGGATAAACTTAACAGGAAATAGGAAAATTAATATATTTAACAGCTGATATATTAAATAGATATTTCATGCATAATGCTCTAAGTACAACCAAAAGCCTGAGAAAAGTGATGATCTAATGATTTCTGACTCTGTTTTTCTTCCGAAATGTCACCTTGAGAGATAGAAAAAAAATCCTCTGACACTCATTTCCTTCCTCACCCCAATGAAGGTTATCATGTGATGCTAAAGCTCAGAGTAGGGCTGGGGGCGATATAGCTAAAAAATTTATCAACGATATAATGTTTCATAATAATTATTGACATTTTTTATAACCTTTTTGAAAACAAAGAGCAATAGAATTTTTTTTAAACTGAACTACTGTATTTTTAAATTAACCCAATTTATTGAGACAAACAACAAATATTTTTTTGTTTTAACAATTAAACACAAAATACAAATTAAACAAATATGTAATTTCTAATGTTTTATATGCAGATTAAATAGGTATTAAGGAAACTGTTGTCTCGTCTCCCGAGGCCACAGGAGGGCGTTATAATGAGCAAAATAATGCAGCACATTAAATTGTCAATGCAAGGAAGTAACTCTATAAAAAAACGTGCATTACGTCTAAATTAACTCATAAAACACAGGCAGGCACAGCACTCATTTCTCATAGCACGTGCCTATATCGTGCGCTATATCGAACATTTTTTTCTATCGTTATCGAAGAAGGTGTACCATCGATAAATATCGATACCGTTTTATCGCCCAGGCCTAGCTCAGAGATACCAGATTTTGAGAAACTTAAGAATATTCACAATCAGATGCATTGCTCATCCGCGGGAGGACAAGTCTGATAACATTATTGTCACTAAAGGAAGACCAACAAAAAAGGCCATTGTCTGGCAGAGAAATTAAGCAACTTTTCTCTCTACAGGGAAGAATGATTCACTAGATGACAAATACATTCAGTGAATCATTCTTCCCTGTAGCGAGAAAAGTTGCTTATGGAGACATATATGTATCTAATAGGTATGTGGATTGTTCAATGTGTTAAATGTGTAGCTCTATGACCACACATGCCTTTTCACCCACAAACAATTCATACTGACTGTCAAGCCCTGATGATTGATGATTACTCACACCAGTGAGAGGGATGCTATCCGATAAACATTTATCAAAGCTGAGCTTGGGTTGGAGTATTATCTCTCACAGATCTTATATTTGATCAAATCATCCATTCCTGCCTTTCACCAACTAACAGAATTTGCTCAGCAATATTTTACAATTTTTTGTAAGTTTACCTTGGCAAAAGGCGATATGATTCACAGAAACCCATTTAGCATCGATTTTACATCACTTCAGTAATCCAATTATAATGTAAATATACTAACCACTCATAGCAAACAAAATGACAGTGGGAGACCACAAAATGTGAGATATTCAGAGCAGATTAGGGCTGCTTGATTATGACAAATATCATAATCACGGTTATTTTGGTCAATATTCTAATCACGATTATTTAAAATTATTATTAGTGGGCCATATGACGAAAACTTTATATGAAAGATTTATTTAAAGATAGTGATATATATAAAATATATATTTTCTGTAAATAAGGTTGCTATGACATCTACATTATAGAGACCAGCAAAATGTCACAATTCTCAATATCACAGCAGAATACCAGAGTAACTAATATTAGTTAAAAAAACAACAACAAAGAAGGTCCTCAATATAATTGAAAATAATTAAACTGTAATAAAAAGCAAAGGAATACAATGCCGGTAATAAAAAAAGCAAAAGAATACAATAGAATAGAAAATATACAAATGAAACAAACTGTGCTTTAACTTTTTTTAATGCAAGTCTAAAGTATTCAGTTAACCTAATGTTGACTGAACCTAATGTAAAATACATTACATAACCTAATGTAAAATAAAACAGCAGTCTTCACTGTAAGAAGTCTCGTTACATGATTTTACTGATTATGGAGGAACGAAAGAGCACCACTGGAAAGGGTGGCGCAATGGGGCGCAATAATCGTTTGATCTCGATTACTGTATTTTCATAATCGTTGGAGGCCAAAATCGAAATCGAAACTGTTTTTCGATTAATTGCACAGCCCTAACTAAGAGTATGTGTTAATTGTGTATTTGACTAATACTCTACCTGGGATTTGCATGTTCTGTATATTCAGGTACAGCTAAAGCGGTGGATTTATGGAAATGTATCAAGTCCATGTTTTACAGTCCATGTTCATATTTGATGGAATAGACAAAATGCAACCAAAGGTGATCTACGTCATAAAACCTTTTCTAGACTACAATGCCCATGTTGATTGAGTGTCATTCCGCAATGCAATCTTCATTTTTCTCAGGAGAAACACTAATATGTAATTGTCAGATTCAAGTGGAGTGGCAATTAAATGCCTCGACTCTCCCAAAAGAGTGACCCAACTAATGATAAGCATGTTTGTTTAGTAATGCAGGTGGGAATGTAATTGCTGAAGTGGCTCTGGATTACTGGAGAGAATACAAAATTTGGAAAGAGTTTTGGATGAACAGCAAGGAACTGGAGATTAAAATCAAAATATCACAATATCTTCAATGACAAAAACTGTGTGTGTATGTGTATTTTTTTCTGTAAATGGTTTCTTAAAATATTAAATTTGATTTCCCTTAGACCTACTGGTTTATAGAAAAGTATTATCTTTCCTATTTTTACCCAAAATAGGGTGTTGTGAGCATTACTGAGTACACACGTAGTAATGTAATGACTGTTTAATTCATACTGAAAGCCGGAGGGCGCCCTTGCGCAGAAACGCCACATATGCATAATAGAAGTAATGCTCCAGGAAGGAAGAAGTATCCAGTGATCGCTGTAGCTGAATAAAACGCAGATAAAGAAATTTTATGTGAGGAAACCTGAAGACAATAAACATGCGATTGCACAAAATATATGGCATCTGTGTTCTTCAAGCAATCTTGGGTATTTTTTATAAGGATAAAGTATATTTATAATGCAATGCTAATCGACATAGCCTTTATCACTGTATATAATGCTATAAAATAGTATGATTTCTGCCTTATTCTGTGATACAAAACCACGTCTGATCACAAAAATACGTTATTTCAAACACTCGACTATGTTATGAAGTTAATATGGAGAAAAAGCATGTCAATAAATTAAAATATCTTTGTTGAACAGGTTTGTAAACGACTCATACACATGTAGAACTGTGTCGCACACGTGCTACTGTAGTACATGTACTCAAGGCTCAGACCGATTGTTGTCTCTGTACAGCCCTATCCAAACCTGTTCCAGATTGTAGAAGGAGCTGCTCAATTTCACGTCCGCTTTCACGTCACTCCACACAGTCCTACACAGAAATATGTCAACAAATAGACTTTATCGTTATTATCGCGGGAAGACGAATTCTTATCGTGTGGAGAATTTTTACCGGTATATCGCAAATGATAAGATATCTCCCATCCCTACTTACCTTATTGTATTATGGTTTTAAGAAAAATAATTTTAGAAACTATAGTATTTGGGCAAAAGCTATCACATTAATTGCATTTTAAGGCACTTTTTAGTAAAAAGTACTAGTTAAATGTATAGAATGACAAAAACATTTAGAAAGCTACCTTACTAAATTTATAATGGTTTTAGTGACAATAACTTTTAAAAACTATAGTATTTGGGTAAAAACTACCCTAGTAAATTTTTTGTAAGGGTATTGAGCCTCATTTTGTTAACACACACTCATTCTGTTGACCGAACAGGAGCTCCTTAAAAGTCACAGCAGGTTCACTTTAACATGCAGAGGGTTTGTCTTGGTAAACATTGTTCAATCACTCTTCCTAAATAGCAAAGACCATTATCATAATCATCACTGCTGTTAGCAGCTAGGTGCCCCTGCAAATGATGACAAATAGAGAGCTAGAATTAGAGAGGTCTGGGGTTGTTCTTCGAGGTCAGGATGGGGTTTAAACAATCAAGACACATTCATTTGGGAAACAGTCTCTTTTCTCTCCTTGATCGTTTTTTCTTGGGAATGCAAGTGTCTGTTTTTCTGTGGCCATAGCAATGCATTCATTTCCCTTACTCAATGGGATCTCAATGGGTTAGTAATTAGCATAATGCCCCCCAAAACATCTTCATATAAGGGCTTTTCACGCAACCTTTCTTGTGTAGCCGTTCGTCACCCTCTGCAAACGTACCCTTAGGCTAATGATACACGGGGCAACTTTTTGAACAATTTTGCTAGGCAATTTTTTTTGAGCAATGTTGCTTGGGCACTTTCCCATTGAGAATGGGTAACAAATTTCTATCTGGATCCTTTAGATCGGTCGTGGGCCCTGTGTCTCACCTGGTTGCCTGCTGCCCGGCAACACTGCTCATTGCTTTCTAAATGCATTCTTATCAAGACTTTTGACAAGTGTGCTATTCTCAAACCCCGTTTTCACCTTTCATATAGGCCTAGATGTGATCAGTTGCATTTTACCAAGGCTCTACAGCACACATTTTAAATACAACAAAAAATACAAATTAGTGATAATAATTAAAAACATCTGTAATCACCATTGAAAACAGACAGGAAAACGTGATTTTGTTCATTGATGCCCACAGAAATTGATATTATAGTATGCACAATAAATGAAAAAAAAAATTTTGGTTCGCACGCCACCAATATCAACACTAAATCTAGAATAACTCTGTGTCCAATATGCCTACTTCCATACATACCAGGTGAAAAACATAGTATGTCTGAATTCATAGTATTCAAAAACAGTAAGCAAAAAGATCCGGATAACCTACTACTCCTGGCGAGATTCTGAAGTGCGCATTAGATGGACACTATCCCATGAAGCCACGGGAGAGGATTTGTGAATGGCGCTGAAGCAACGGATGAAGCTGCGGATGTAGTATGGATGTAGGGTGAATTAAGGGGGATTGGGACAGTTTTAGAATTTCCGACATGAGCAAGGTTTCTTGCCATAAATTAAAAACATCAGCCGAATACATGATATATTTCTGTAATACTGAAGATGTTAACTACCCATTTGAGGAGGAAACAATGTTATATTATGATGAAAGGATGTGTGACGTACACTTTTCTGTAAACGGAGCCAAAAAAGTTTTTTTGGTAACATTTGGGTGATTGGGACACAATGTTTGGGTGATTGGGACAGCACATTTTTTCATTGATTTTGGGTAGTGTAAGAATATTTAGGCCTACTGTATTGCACAAGTTAGTTCATACTTTAATATAATTTTATATGCAATATTTCATTTTCTGTTCATCATTATTAAGAGCCCATGTTTATTTCTTTTCAACTTTATTTCTCACTTCATAAATCCAACCAAAATTTATACAATACAACTAGGGCTGTGCAAAAAATCGAATGCGATTTTCATGTGCATCTCGTCAGTAAAGCCGCTCCTGTGATTAGAAGTAAATCTCCAGCACGTGCGTTCAGATGGAGCGGCATTTACTACACAGAGCCGTAGTTCACTGACAAGCTACACAAAATCACGTTCAAAATCGCAGGCGATTCATTGCCGATTTTAATTTTGTTATTTTTGTGGTTGATTACGGCTTGCATAAATAAATAGGGTGGAAACCACTGATTTAGGGCATACAGAGCATATACAGTGGTTCTCTATTACAAGGTAAATCATTTTCTTAATTAGCAAAGCCTTTAAGCACTGTCCCAATCAACCAAAATTATGCTGTCCCATTCAAACTGTGTTTGGGTGGATCATGGGACAAAATAAAAACAACCTAATTCGGAAAATAGAAACATGATTTTAACACTTTTTTACTTATTTTGTAGAAGTAGTGCATCATATTTATGTTTCCATCAAAAGTTTGTATAATATAGGAGCTATGAGAATTTTAGGACCTTATTATGAAAACTAGCAAAAGCTTATGTCATTTTCCTCAGTTCATGCATTTCATGGTCAACTTCCTGTTTGATGCCTGCCCCGCCCACCT